TACAAATCAATACATTAAGTCAACAACTATGTCTAGGATCACAATTGAAAGAGTGGTATCAAGATGCAACATCTAATCCTTATGGTCATTTACTCGTTGATTTAACTCCAAAAACAGTTGATTCGCTAAGATATTGCACAAACAGTGGTTCAGTTCCATCAAAATTTTATCTACCAGCAGGAACAGAAACAAAGTTTTTGGACAATGAGCACACAGTACGTCTCTATACTCCCAATATTTCAAACATTTTCCCAAAAACTTCAAAAACAATTCATCCTCCATTGTCCAAAACGTTTTATTCAATTCCTCAGCGAATGTCTAGTAAACTTGCTACGAGGCGAGCTAAAGGAACTTTGAAAAGAAGACGTAGTAAAATTTCGAAGAGAAATATCAGAACTCACACGAAGAATAACTTCACTGCAAAAAAGTAGAACTATTTTAAGCTCGCCAAAAGGCTTACAATAATATAGGTTATCACTCTTTTTGTCATTAGGCGATTGACATAGTATGGATCAGTTTGTTCTAATTCCTTACTCAATTTATCAATCACAAAGTACACTTCCAAAAAAACCAAAGTTGGAACAAAAACAAGAAAAAGAGGAGATTGTACCAAAAGATTTTGATTCTATTTGCAGTGTTGTAAATGCAAAGTAGAAAACGAGTAACAATAAGCACTTTATTGATTTAGTTTTGAACTATCCTAGAATTAGACTAATTCAGTCAGAAAATATCATATTAGATAATCGAGACACAAAAGAATCAATTGTAGACTTTGTGTGTGCACTAAAGCGAAAAATACCGACTTTCCCGATATTTACTTTACCATTTTGGAAGCAACTCAAATTCCACCTAAATTTGTTGTCAACAAGAATGCCAAAGCAAAAGACAGAGGAACTTGAATCGCTTTCAAAATTTGAAAAGGTAACTCTGAACAGATTGTATTCTAGGGGTAGAGCTGCGTACGGTTTTGTACGAAACTTGAGTAAAGCAAGCGGGTTGTCAAAAAAGAAGTTAGAACAATTTTTACAAACCAAGACATCATATACAAAATTTGGTCCTCCAATCAGACGTTTTCGAAGACTTGGCATTTGTGGACAAACTAGCGAGTCAAAAGGATGGAGTCAAATATTTATTGGTTGCTGTTGATGTTTTTTTGCGATTTGTCAGAGTTCAAATAATGAAAACTAAATATGCCAAAGACACTTTACAAGCTTTCAAAAAATTGATTTCTCGAAAAACACTCCTGAAAAGCTTTGGGCTGATAAAGGAACAGAATATGATGGAGGAACTTTTAAAAAACTTTGCAAGCAAAAAAAACATTGGAGTTTACTCGACAATGAGTGAAACAAAAGCTGCATTTGCAGAGAGAGCTATTCAATTATTAAAACACATAATTTACCGTAACATAGAAGATCATGGCGAAAAATTCATTTACAAGCTACCGCAGTCTTTGTCTACAATGAATTGTCGCGTCAATAGATCTATTGGGAAATCAGCTAGAGATGTCAAGGATACTGATTTCCTCTCAATTCCGTACAATAAAGCTCTAACAAGGTATATAAAACTAAATTCAAAGTTGGAGACAGAGTGAGAATTTCAAAGAATGATATTCCGTTCCGAAAAGGATATAAACCACAATTTACAGATGAGATTTTCGAAATTTCGGCGATATCTACTAAAAAACCTCCTACATACATCATCAAAGATCTCGACAAAGAAAAAATTCTGGGAAAAATATATGAAAAAGAGCTGAGAAAATGTTCTGAATAAAGGTAAAACATTTTTTAAACTAAATTTCTATCGATCAGTTACCATGGATTCTTTTACTATTGAGTTGGTTTCTAACGCTTCTTTTAATTGTTATCCGAATAATAGTCTTAGTTCTTTTACAAATTTTCTACCTGACTTAATACATTTGAAAGGAGAATGGGAGGTTGCTATTTCAGAAATATCATACCCTTCTTTGTACCAAAATGTTACAGAGAGAAAGTTTCCATTCGTAGATGGTAGAGAAAGTTCTGAGGAGAAAAGAAAGATTGTACCGATGACCATTGAACCAGGATTGTATCCAAGTATTGTTGATATAGTTGTAGCCATGAACAACAAAATTCGAGAACGTCTAGGTGCTCAAGTTTTTGAATATAACGGAATCTTTGTATCAGTAGATAAAATTACACAAAAGGTTGCCGTTCATTTACCTGAGACTCAATCAGTGTTTATAATTCAGAGTGCTGATTTGAGTCACATTTTTGGTTGTGATTTAGAACAGAATCAAACAGGGGTTATAATGAAAAGAAAAGGCCCACATTATCCTCAGTATTCTTACGGCATTATAAGAATACATTCCCTAATGATATATAGTGATGTTATAGAATATAACATAGTTGGTGATAAAAAAAAACTCCCTTATTGCGTTGTATTCCTTTTATCTCCAAAGTGAAGAGTAGAGATATAATTTCTACAGGACGTACATGAATTATCAATCCTTTACAATTTTACGGTTTAAAAAGCTGTTGAAAAATTCTTTCCATACTATCAAGATAGAACTCAGAGATAGTACAGGTGAAAAAATTCCTTTTGTGTCCGTAGGAATCACCCGAGTTGTTCTCTTGTTTCGCAAGATTTCGAACAATCATTTTTGATTTAAACTTCATACGAAATGGTTGCTCAAAACTCATCAGATTACCCTATTTTTCGAGGACATGCAAGACAACGTGGAAGAGGTTTTGGAGCTCTTGCACAAACTCTTGGGAGAACTGCAATCCCCTTCATTAAAAAATATATAGTCCCAGCTGCGAAAAAATTGGGGCAATTTTGTTTGAAATCGCTGCTCCAGAGATTGGGGAAGTTGTTAGTGGACGTAAACAACTCAAAACATTTGCAAAAGATGTGGGTACAAAAACAGTTCGGAAACAATTGGGAGGTGGAAAAAAGAGATCTAAGCGTAGATCCATTTCTCGAAAAAGTAGATCGAAAAACAGTAGCTCTCGCAAAGACATTTTTGACAAAATAAAATGAGTGTAAACCAAAGTCATTTTCGGTACGGGGCTTTTACAAATTCTTCATTGGAGATTTTTGATAAAGTCCCAGTTTTGGAAACAATTATGTCATCTTACACACAAAAAGTTTTCCCAACTACTTCTATGGATGAAAGCAGTATTGAGTTTGAATTTGAAACGGATCGTAATCTCTACTTGGATATGCGTGATACCCATCTTAGATTAAAGCTTCAACTTTTCAAAAGAAGATTGTTTGATGTTTTTCAAAAAAGAAAAAGCAGAACATAAAGCAAAATAGAAGGAAGATTCAGATGAGCAACCACAAACTTACTTAACTTTTGTAAACAATCTACTACATTCTCTATTCTCCAACTGTGAAGTTTATTTTAACAATAGAATGGTTTACAATGCCAATGGATTATATCCTCATAAAGCACAGATATCGAACGAATTCAACTGGTCAGCAGTGAGCATTAGAGGAATACTTGCTTTTCATGGATACAGTTTTGAACAAAATCTTGATGCATTTGATATGCATCCAGTCACAGATAGAATAAATTCCTTGGGAACAGGGATAACTTTTTCACTCTATGGGAGGCTCGCCATTGATTTGTTTACTTGCGGAAAATTGTTGCTACCAAATACCAAAGTTCGAAATAAACTTATTCGAGCTAGACCTAATTTTTACATGCTATCTGATAATCCAAATGTCAGTCTGAAAATTGTTGATTGTTCGTTGTTTACTAGAAGAATTTTAGTTGCTGAACCTAATCATCAATACTTGCAATGGAATCTGGAAAAGGAATCTGCTCAATACAATTACATGGAAACTATAGCAAGAACCTTTATCATTCCATCTTTTCAAAAACCAATCATCCAAGAAAAAATATTCAATAACGCTCAAAAAAGAAGAGTAGCTGTTGCAATGAATACAAATTCAGCTGTTGCAGGATCTTTTCATGAAAACCCTTTCAATTATCAGCAATTTCATTTAAGAGAACTTAGAATTATTCGAGGTGGAAGAGCAATTGTTTCATTAGATACTTCTTCTCCTTGTCGACCTTATGTTACAACAATGAAAGCAATGCAGTTTAACGAAGATTTCCCAGCTCTTCCTATGGAAGATTTTCAAAATCACTATATTCTAGTTTTTGACTTGACCTCACTACAGGATGCAGCTGAACCGTTGCATTATCCAGAACCTAGTGGAGAGAGCTTGAGATTAGAAATGTTTTTCCAGTTTCCCTTGCAGCAAGTAACGGAAGTGATAGTCTTGGGAGAAAGACTATCAGATGTTCAAATTGACAAAATCGGAACAGTCGCTAAAAATGTTTAGCCTTTTTGAGTTTTCAGGTTCCTATAAAAATATTGTAGCTTTTTTGGGACTTTTCATTGTTATTGTCTCTGTACTATCTATTTTGTTTTTCCTCAAATATAAATCTCCAGAAAAAGCAGATAATGAATGCTGTTTAATTAAACACCCAAGAAAATTTTTCAACCTAGTCTGTAAACCAGTGTTCAATAACCATTGTCCAGTTCACAAGTTTTGTGTATGGGACTTTGTTGATTCAATACCTAAATGCGCGTAAGTTAATAACTTTAGTTTTTTTCAACTTAAATTACAATATCAAACTTTCTATTTTTTTGTTTTAGATGTAAATCAGCTAACAGTTGCAAAGATGGATTTATTTTCACTTCTGCAAATCATTGAAAGGATTCCTGAACTCAGGTTCAAGTACATGGGATCTTACCCCTCTGATAAACTACCTCAACTAACAAAACACTTTTTTTGCAATTGTTAACTCAGCTCCAAGCATTGATAGAGGAGAGCACTGGATCATGATAGCTCGATTGGACAAAACTTACTATTTTGCTGATTCTTTGGGTCGAAAAAGAACAGCTTGTTCCTTTCTAACAAAAAAGTATCGGCTAATGGTTCCTCGAAAGCTACAAAAAACTGATAATTTGTGTGGATTTTACGCAATTTATTCAGCATTTCTTCTTATTAAATTCTACCAGACAAACTTAAATAAAATTCATGATGTGCATGTTTTGAATTTTATAATTAATTTTATGTAAATAGTTTTTCTCATTTTTAAGTGTAAATTATGACAGTAAATTTACTATACGATGCAGTGATTTATATATTTTCATTGTAATTGAATTTTTTTCTCAAAAAATTTTTTTTCGAAGTCTCTGTAGGTTTCAGCATTGTTTCAATTAGATGGAAAGTAAGATTATCTAATAAATTAGGTCAAATAATAGCTAATTTTATCGTGTTTTGAAGTTTTTTGAAAATTTTTTCAATTTGTTTTTTTGATAAAAATTCCAAGTTTTTGCACAAAAACTCTTACCATTGACTGCCCCATGCACCAAAAAGATTAAAAATATAACCTTAATTCTACAATCTACATGTAATTAACAATAAATTGTTTCCAATGAGGTAACGCGCGCCGAGATTTTTGCGAAAAAATTAGACATTTTCGCACAAAAACCAAAAAGTTTTCGTTTTTCTTATCATTATCTTACCATCACACAAACCATAAAACCTTACCATTGGTTTTCCCTATCCTTATACATTGTAGACTCTACACCCTAACTTAATACAAAGGTGGCTGACCGGATACTGTATAACCTATGTCAGTACATGAGGGTCATCCACCTCCCCCCCCCCCACTTCAGCTCCCTCCAACATCTACTACTTTTACATTTGTAAACAGCATTATCAAATTATGTGGTGCGACTATTGTTCTCAATTTATTCAAGTAATACTGAGTGACCTTTAAGCAGCTGATTTTCTAGATTTAGACGGTTTTGAAATAACCTGAGTATCCTACTTTGGAAATTTTCGTCCACGTTTTTCAGAAATTGACAAAGCTTTACGGATGCTCACAAAATAGAAAACAATCAAAAAAGTGAGATACTGTTTTCATACGTAATTAATTTTACATTAATATATCAACATTAGTTTACAAGATGGGGGAACTTGACGTCTCAAAGCTTCTGCCTGAAGCCTAATTTTTTTTATAGCTTTCCGAGCTTTAAGTGGTAAGCCGTTCCGCTTCATACGCGTCTTATGGATGTTAAGACTAGCGCTATAACGCCTTAGAAGGAGGAGAGTCTTTTACTCAAGGGAAGGAGGCTAATGAAACTCTTTGTACTTCTCATTTTGTACCTGGTCCTTAGCCTTACGCTTAGAGATAAAGTCTTTGACGACGTTTGAACGAGAATATCTGTTGAACCTAAACTTTCCTCTATATCCTCGGTTCCGTGTCGTCTACAGTATACGATTGCACAGATGTTTGTCCTTTACCTTAATAACAAAATGACAAATTGCTCACTACTCAGCCTGCGGTTACTGTTGCTGCGGTACCTACTTATCGAGTTATAAATGGCGTCGTGCCAAATTACAATGTCATTACGGTGCGACAAGTAGTGATGAAGGTAGTACTGTATTGTTGAGAGTCCCTAGCGTTAAATTTCAAACTTAAACCTGGCTTCGTAAAGCAAGTGTCTTTGACGAGCTTCCGCGACGGAGCGGGAAGTTTTCGGAGCGCGTGATCCAAGGAACTAGCTCCTAGAATGAATACCATATACTTAAGCGACCTATGCGACGGCTACGTTACGCTTAAGTACCAATGGGTTTGGAAAAATAAGTAGGTCGGTTGATCTCCAACAACACACACGGAGTAAACCGGAGGATGAAAGAGTTCAACTTCACTCACTTAATATCACCGTACCTGACCACTGAACTTTACTGTCACTCAACGAAGTCAAAAATCTGACGGGCAGAAACAGCTTTGATTCACTTGAAGCGAACTGGCTTTCAGTTTCATCAAAGGTGGGAGGGGGATCAGGTAAATTGGTTAAGTTCCAACAACAAACGCGGAATAAACCTGAGGATGAAAAAACTCAACTTAATTGGCCTGAGATTCCGCTACCAGACCACTTAACCTAAGGTTGGTGTCATCTTACAGCACAGTTTCGCAGAATTCTAGAGACGTTTTGAGGATTTTTTGGCAATTTTTTTTTGACTTTTTTCACAAAATTTTTCGGAAAATTTTGGTCAGCAGGTTCGAGTCGTAAACCAATCCAAAAACTAGTCCAGTACCTCTTGTCTATGATCCGATTTCACGGATTAATATTCCGTTCACATATATCCAAAAATTTTTGGTATCGAGAAAAAATGTCAAGTCAGTTTGTCTATGTACCGACTATGTACCGACATTGGCAATACTAAACTCTTGTCCGGGAAACTCTCGTGTCCGGGAAACTCTCGTGTCCGGGAAACTCTAGAAAGTTAATTATCAACGAGGTCCTTTGCCATAATCTCCAAACGAAAATAATTGAATCCAAATCCGTAAATTAATAAGAGATATTTCTCGGTAAAAAACTCAGGCAATAAATACATTTTGGCATTTTCTATCGATCATATTCATAACTTAATATAACCTTTTTTTCATCTGCTCTGAAAACAGTACAAATCGGCGCAAGCTACAAAATTTTTGGTATCGAGAAAAAATGTCAAGTCAGTTTGTCTATGTACCGACTGTAAGATGTTTCAGTTCAACGGAAATGTCCAAAAATTTTGGCTATTGAGAAAAATTACCGGTTGCTAGCTCGCGGAAAAAATTTTAACATATATGACATCGCATATAAATTTAAAGCACGAATGGAGAGTTTTAAAAGTTTTCGAAACTTCTTACAGTTTTTAATTGGAAATTGGCGACACCGGGAAAAAATCCTAAATTCCGGGTGTCGAGAAAAACACAGCTCAAAAGTCCAAAAGTCAACAATCAGGACACCTGAACAGGCCTCTCTTCACCAGTTTGCTCTTTCGCCTGTCTGCTCTGTCGTCTGTCGGCTTACAGGCTCCTCGTCCAACTGGACACTTCCAGTTTTGGCCAATTGTGTTAACTGCTCACAATAACGACTTTCGGCAATTTGGACTCTCGACCAACTGGACAATCGGCCAACTAGACACTCGGCCAACTGGACAATCGGCCAACTGGAAACTCGGGGGCCAACGGCAAACTTGATACTTCGGCCAAATAAAACACTCGTCGTGTCTCTCGTGTTGAAATAGGCCAAATAAAACACTCGGCCAAACAAAACACTCGTCGTGTCTCTCGAGTCCCTTGTGTCGCAATACTAAACTCTTGTCCGGGAAACTCTCGTGTCCGGGAAACTCTAGAAAGTTAATTATCAACGAGGTCCTTTGCCATAATCTCCAAACGAAAATAATTGAATCCAAATCCGTAAATTAATAAGAGATATTTCTCGGTAAAAACTCAGGCAAATAAATACATTTTGGCATTTTCTATCGATCATATTCATAACTTAATAAAACATTTTTTTCATCTGCTCTGAAAACAGTACAAATCGGCGCAAGCTAGCCACAATAACCGGCAAAATGTCCTTGAGACAAATTGCTCTTTTTTGCGGTCAGCCTTAATCAAGGCCGAACCGAATTAGAATCAAAAAACAGTAAAAAACGGTCAAATTGGTCTATAGCCCCTCGGGTCTAAATGTTTTAAGGTCTGCGTATGGGGGGACTCGAACCCGGTTGACCGTCCTGAGAGACTTGTCCCTAGGGCACTCGGTCAACTGTCCTTATTCTTATTTTATTTTGGTCCAATCATATTCAAGCTTGTGTTTGGTTTTATATGCATTTATACTCTTGCTTACATTTGCGTTGCAACAAGGGTTTTTAGAGTTGAGGAGGCGACGATAAGATACTATGAAAAATTAGGCGAAAACTGACGGCTAACTTAAATTGCGACTCAAACGGGATAACAACTGACGACTTAGAGATGACCTCTGAAGCGTTCAGTTTCTCGTTTTTTTTTCGTCAAAATTTTGGATACGATTAACTCTATCTAATCACAGACCACATGTTGAAATGGAACTGATCCTTGATAAGAGGAGCGACATGCTTTTTTTGCAAGAAGGTGATGTCCTGTGATTGCACGTGCTGAAGCAAACAAGGAAGCCGAGAGCGACCGGTGGTTGGAAATATCCAAAACTAGAGAGACCAGGAACTAACAAGTCGGGGGACGATATCCATTCAAAACACAAAAACTAGTATAACAAGCCAAAACTTAGGAATCGCTCGTGGTATTCAGATAGTTCATTGAACTATGTGGTAAGGTCAATACAATCAAATCAAAAGCTCAAAGTGGCAAGCACAAAGTTGAGACTGAGAATCAACGAAAAAAAGACAAGCATGTGGATTTAAAGAATTCCAAAAGAACAAACATCAATTGCCGAACATCGAAGAACGAAAAAAAGGATACGGTGAGACAAACAATAACCGGAACGAAACCGATGAGGTATTTTTTCACGCAGCCACCACTCAGTCAAGAAAAAATGTACAAGACAAGTTTTCTTTAAAAGGGTTAAAATCGACAAGAACGCTTAGACTGAAAGCGGGTTTTGATGGAAAGAAGACAGTGTCTGGGGATTTTCATTCTAATCAGAGGTCACGAGTTACTCGCACTGCAATTTGAAAAAAAAAGTTAAATTTTGATAATTACTAAATTCATTCAGAAATGCAAAAATGTTCACAAAAATTCTTCCAGTTTAGCAAAAAATATATTTACAGTAAACCATGATTTGATGTAAGAATTGCGATATTATCACAGGTATGCAGGAAAAGAATAAATCAAGCTGTAATCAACCATTCCTGTTTTTCCTTAGAGATGTCAACTGAAATACAGCAAGGAATGGGTAACTCTTAAGATTATTAGAACAAAACTTGCACCCAATAGAACAACTAAAAATGATTTTTGATAAGACCATGAGTATGTTTTGAGTAAAATGGAATTCGGTTCATTCATTTTGATTTTCAGACCTTGAAGGTTGCTCTGTTGCCATCCACAGGTTGAAAAAAATGCATAGTCAGAACCCATTTTAAACAGTAAGCGAATGGTTGAATCATTATGAAGCAAGATTTTGAGCGCAATCGTCTATGAAAACCGCTCAATACTCTCATTTCTTGCATCAAATTAT